TGTGTGTGTGTGTGTGTGTGTGTGTGTGTGTGTGTGTGTGTGTGTGTATGTGTATATTTTGTTGAGCGCTTTCGTTCATTGCCTCATGGATTTATAGATTTTTTTTCCTATTGCATTTCCTCTGGTGAATTTAGTTGCTGTTCTATATTCGGTTTGTTCGACCTGTTCATTTATTGCAACAATTTCGGTTGTTCAGTGAACTGAACGTGTTTAACAATTTCAATGAGTGCTGTTGTATTGTGGTTGGGGTTTTGAGCTAAAGTTGTCCGTAATCTGAACACGGGTGCAAAGTGAATAAGCGGAAATTTAAACAAAATTCGTGTGTTGAATGCAACTTCCATCGCTGGCTTAGCCACGACGACGACGACGACGACGACGTTCTGTCTATACTGTGAATTTTCCAGTGCATTCTCTTATATAATTCGTAATTGAGTGAACAATCTACCTAAAAAAATCAACGATTACCATGAATCATTTCCCTGGAGCTTTTCATTTTCACAATGCTAAAATACACCCGTTCATTTGCCGTCGAAACAAAAACCCCGAATCACTCTTGCTTCAAATCCGACACAAAACTTACGAATTGTGTGATTCGCTACCATTTAATGATGAAATTATTTATAATTATTAATTCATGCACAGGAAATCGGGTTGATGAATGAGATTACTTGCGTGTTTCATTTCGTTTTCAAATTCAACCTTAATGTTCGCGTTTGGCTTCGTCTTTATACGAATACTGTTGCCTCACTCGGCAAAGCAAAAAAAAAGAACGAAATCGATTATTGCATATAATTTCATTTCCTAGGTAAGTTTTCAGTTGTTTTCCCGTAGATGGGACCCCCATAAAAATTCCTTTAAATCAATTCCTGAATAAGCAAATGGAAAATTATTCATTAAAACGTGGTTTGTTCCGGAATCTTGGGTGCTCTACACCCTCGCACTTTGTCGACAAACTGTGTGAATTTCTTCGGATTTTTTTCTTTATTTTATTCTATTTGTGCACTCGCCGCTGTTTGTTTTACATTAACCATAAAAAGCCGGGTTCTACGGTTCAATATTCGATATGATTGAAGCGTAAAAGCTACTTCATGTGTCATTTTTCGGCAGCGTATTTGCTCACTTAACCATCAAGTATTTGCTCCGAAGCGTCGCCTTTGTTCCACTCTTTTCGAAATATTCACGTCGCGTATTCCAAATATTATGCTGGGTTTTCAGTAATGGTTCATTTTGTGAAAGCCTTGCCTCATTCCACTTTTCGTAATTTCATTTCCTGCTGCTTTATTTGTTCGTTTGATTTCGAATCATTTTATTTTTGTTCTTTATCACAAAAATATATATTGTGACGTTTACGGTCTGGCGGGCTTTCATTCTCAATTCCCGCGTGAGTATTTCGGAAGATACGTTTGGCATTGTTTGTGTGCTAGCAAATGCGACCACAATCAAACTCCCATAACAAAAAGCATTTTCCGAGCAAATTTTCGGTCGATAGAGAAGTAAAGGAGGACACTTAACAAACACACAAGCACATAGCAACAACAGTAGGACAAAAAAAAAATGAAAAGCAGCAGTGGACGAGCGAAAGGAAATAAGGCTAACAGGAACAGAATAGAAAAACGTATATTTCATTGTTTTAGTGGCCATTTCGTAAACATTGTGTGCATGAGAGCGAAGACAAAATAATGGGAGAACCAAAGCAAATACAAATGTACCGATTCACCATCCATTTGGACGAGTCAAAATCAAACAACTTAAACAAATATAGCCGAACGAAAGAACATTGCTTCACTACTATGTACACGATTTGCTTGAATAAATGCTAGTAAAATTTGTGAAAACAAATAAAAACAATCGAGCGCAATTTATGCAGAATAGAAAACCCGAGAGAGTAAAAGGTTTGTCTTGGAAGATGGGATGTGTCTTGGGTTTATTGAAATTTCAAAGTTTTCCTTCCTTTTCGTCGAATAGTATTTATATCCATCGTTGAATGTGATCTTTTCTAAACTTTGTCATCGTCATCATGAACCCAAAATAGTTGCGTCTCCATTAATCCGTTTTGAATTTGTTTTATTTGGTGAAAAAAAATCCGACTCATAATTCCAAACTCTATTTGTGTAAATGGTTAGAAAAAACGAACGTTTCGACTGCAACTAACGATGTACAGAGGAATTAACTCGTTTTGCTAAAAAAAAAAACCAGAGAATCGGTTTATCGTGCTTTTTTTATCAAAAATAATTCATACAACGAAATCCGTTTTCATACAACAAAAATGTATTCGATATTTCTTTCGCAACAATATTGCAGATGAAATGCAGTAGAAATGATGAACTTTAGCCTAAATGTTATTGTTTCAAAGGAAAAATGTGAAAAGAGCATTTACGAAGGAGAGCCATTTTTGACTTTTTGACAGCCGAATCAAAAGTTTTCTCGCCACAGTTCGCGGAAAAGTTATTCCAACTGTAAAATCGTTGTTACATGGAGTTTGCCATTCGCCGTCAAATTCCCCTCTCTCTCTCTCTCTCTCTCTCTCTCTCGAGCAGTACTTATGCGTTAGAAATGACAAAAACAGTTTACACGCTTACCAAAACTTTGCATGTTTCTTCTGAATTCCAAGTAATTATGGCATTGCGGAAAGGACGATAACGAACAGTTTCAGTTTTTGAGAAGTTCAAAAATATCCAAGTGAATATAATGTGTGTTCTTTGATATTTTCTCACTGCGCAAAGTGCAACTGAAGTGAAATTTTCTCCAGTTCATGCAGCTTTTGGATATATGAACTTTGTTGTGAATGACTTGGAATATCCGGTTCCACATGGCATCAATGGAGCAGTCTTGCCGTCTCAGCATGGCTTGCTGAAAATAATTTTACAGTTAATCTTTAATCTGACAATCAAAAGAAAAAACGGATAAAATATGATGGCAATTTATCGTCTTAACTTGTTGGACGAATCCTGTTTCCGGGGCACAACATGTCCCAACGATAAAGGAAATCGAAAGCGACGACGATAACGACAACAGCAGTATACTTTGCAGCGCTTTCACTTCGACTGAATCATCTGTTGCATTTTTCGATTTCAGTAACATGCGTAATAGCAGATTTTCTTGGAAAATCTCTAAACCTATAAGCTCGTGTAAGAGATTAAAGAAAGTTCAGCAAGCAATGCGATTTTCGTTTTTTATAACATAATCTCAAAAGCAGTGTGGCAGGTACGCTGTCGTGCCATTGATGGCAGCTATTTAGCTGACACTCGAAGCCTATCTGATTGATTGACTTCCATTTCCTAAGCTATGTACCACCAGCAATGCCATTGACGAAGTCAACCGTCGGATCGAAACCATCCGCAACCACAGCAACAATCTATTCCACAAATTGGGGTGAAATAAGTCTTCATCAACAGATCAATGCATTTTACAAGCAAAAATCAATGTTTTCATGCCAATTGTTCTTCCCTCATTCGTTTCGCCATCCGAATATTTGTTTGTGAATTGAATGTCTAGATGGATGAAATTCCTAAATATATTACTCAACTTTGTTGGAACGAGTAAAACATCCAAAATGACATCAAACACAAACCACAATTCCATTTTCAATCTAGATATTAGTTCATAGACCGTTGTTTTTTCTGCGCTTTGTTATTTGGCCACACACATTCACATATTTTGAATGCAAAAATCAATGGTGCATGCCTATGTGAATGTGTGTGTGTGTGTGTGTGTGTGAAAAAAAGCGAAACACACTGCAAAAAATGTGTGTCACTTAATGGATAAAATAAACCGGAGCCACCGTGAGCTCGTCATGTACTTTTCTATGGATTCTCAGAGAGAAAAGAGTGATACTACTCTCTTTTTACTGAATAAAACAAGAGTAGAATATCCGGAAAACAAGAGCAAAATACATAAAAAAACATAATACATCAAATAGCTAAACTAACACACTTGAATAGCGGCACATGTGACTTGAAGCGGGCGAGAGAGAGAAAGAGAGAGAGAGAGAGAGAGAGAGAGAGAGAGAAAGCGTATATGAACGTGGAGCCTAAACAAAGCAAGAGTGAATAAAAAAATATGCTGAACGCTAAATAATGGATTGTAATTGAAAACAAATGCTATCCAACATAGGAACTGTATGGTCGCAAATTTGCTCTAGATTTTCCACTGTGAAACAAACGGAACTTCGTACACTCCCTTTGCGCCTTTGTACATTGATCATTTGAGTTGAGTCGCGTCGAGTCGAGGCGACACAATTAAAGCACACATTCTGTTAGTAGCATTAACCGACGGTTTTCATCTCTCTTGCCATTGTTTTTAAAGAGGCTAAGAGAAAGAGAGAGAAAAAAGGCGCCACACATTCACCAGATCCAAAACGAAAAAAAAACTGAAATGGATAGAGAAAAAGTGGGAAACAAATGTGAATCAAGCACATGTGAGAGAAAAAAAACGGTTTTTATCGGAAGTGAAATCATGTAGGAAAGAGGCCAAGCAGTAGGTAATCGAGCGAAAATGGAAAATCGCTGTTGAAAATCGCTACAAAATGCGAACTCAATGTTCATTTTGGTCCAATTGCTTAGGATCTCAAGTGCTTTTTTTCTGTCCTTTCCACATTTAATGGTGATTCAATATGCGTTTTCAGTCCTTTCACATACTTCTACCATTGAAATGAACCTCTATCTCCATGGGATTAGCTCAGTGGAACATATTTAAATATTGACGCCACTTGATTCCCTTGTAAATCAACACCATACGACCATTTGTTGGGCACTCTGAGAGGAGAGCATTGAAAACGACACTTGTGGACATTTTTCTGAAAAGAATTTTGCTTAGACTAGGTTTTCGAAATTTTGACTCGGGAAATGCTGAAATGGAAACACAAAAAATGTTCATAGGGAAGAAAATGGCCAGCGCAAGTCTGCAAATGTATAATTGAATACTTTGTTAAGTAAATTCCCAAGCAAAATTAAATACGATGCGATGAGAATTAGGAGAAAATGCTTTTAAAAAACGTTGGAAATTTAATTAAATTTCGTTGAGATTGAGGCTACTAGACAAAATATATAGAATATATATGCCATGTTTTGAAAAATTCATGAAAAGCGTTTGTTGAAATCCTTTAAGTTTTTTATGTCGTTATGCTGAAAATGTCGTTTCTCATTATGTGCGCATTTTTTCTTTCTTTGTCGCTGTCTCCTCATTCGATGCTGCATTTCGAAGCGAGCACAAACGAAAGGGGAGAAATTGTGCGCGTTCCAAGTGTTCATCTCATGAAATCCCGTTAATGTTGTCAATTTAATATAATTTATTCATAATTTTCTTTTCTGCTGTCTCCAACAATGCTACAATTGACACACTCGGTTCTGTTGGCAGAAAAATACAAAATTAAGCTCAAAAGTGTTGAGCATCAAACGGCAGACGACTGTCGAGAGAGAGCGAGAGAAAAAAATCCTTTTTGTTATATAAATAGATTCCGGTGTTTATCCAACTTATCAACGTTAATTTTGGCAATTTTTTCATCGTCCATTTTATGCTCATCCCTGGAAAGATTTTAGCTACCGTGATGATCTTCTATCCTTTTTAATTTCAATGTTCATTTCGGTCCATTTTTCCTACACTCTACCTCTTTTGTCAAGCATACACATAAGTGTAAGAGAGCAAAAATCCAAATGCACAAGGCACATTGCCTCCATTTTTATCGTCACACAAATAGCGAGCACTTATCAAAATGTAACGGAACAAACACTCCAGTTGAACCAATGATGACCATTCTCCCTCTTTCTCATAGATAGAATCTATGACCTTTTTTTCTTTCTCACACACACTCATGCCATAACTGGACTTTCGGCTTCCATTTCAACTCGGAAAAACTTTAAAGTGATGCAAACAACATAGATAGGGAGCATTCAAACAACCGATAAGCTCCACACACAGCACTTTTTTATCTGCGTTTGCTCATATCAAAACGTTGCGCATTCATACAAGCGAATATCAATGTTTGTTACTTTCAATGTCTTTCCTTAATGACTGTATATGTGTTTCAACTTCAGCACATTCCCTTGTCGACTAAATGCATTTTTGATGGTGGTGCTGATATAATTATTTTGATTTCAAAATGCTATAATTATGATACTTACACACAGAGAAATAAGTACTAGAAATTGAGATAAAGTGATTTTGTTTTGAATTCGCACCCGAAAATGTTTTGCGAATGAATTTCTTTGACATGTTGAAATTTTTCCTCATTAGCAAAAGAAACTTTGAGTGCGAATTAAAAAAAAAAAAACACTTTACGTTTATTTCTGTGCGTCTAGATAATAGTTTTTTTTCTCGAATATTCTTGTCTGAAGCCAGTGAAGTACAGAAATTGCAAGTCAGCATTTTGTTCTCCAGAGGCATTTGGAATAAATGCGAAATTAACGACCATTGCTGTAGATTGGAAAAATTCTTTTATCGGAAGCTAAAGTTTTGATTGTATTTCATTACAACAACAACTAAAACAATAACAAAAATATCAAGCCATCGAGAAAAAAATGGGCTCATACCCATCATAGTTACTGCAGTTAATTAGTTTTCTTTTTCAACGAAGTTTCATGCGAAACTTCTCGAATGAGAAAATTAAAGAGTGTGTTTTTATCAGGGTGGTCTAATCAGCTTAAAAAAAACGTAGCATTTTCCATCGTTTAATTATTCATCGCTTACTTTGGACGTTCAATCATGCAGAGCACGTGTAAAATTAACAAGAACCACTTTTTCCCTGCATGGTAAATGTGTCCGTAAGGTTTGCAGCCAAACGAGATTTTCAATTTGCACCAAAATGAACGGTTGCCAAGAAAAGCGAATAGCAGCAGTAGCAACAATATGAACAACGAACGAACATCGAAAGGAACAACAAAAAAATTGTTACAAAAATACAAATAACTGTGCAAAATCGCTTGGCTAGACATAACATGAGCTTCGAAAAGCATTGTTCATAATTCACATGGATTGAAATGAAGGAGAAAGCGTTTTCTGCCAACCGAACCAGAATAAAAAAATCATTCACAATTTAAGGTTTTGTAGTAAAATATATATGCGAGTTACTGGCAGCCCGTTTGTGCGTTGGCGGTGTGCTAACGGATGGAAAATCCATTTTTCATGTTGCCTTTTATTTGAACCGTTGCGACAAACAAATTCCCTCAGAATGTTTTAGTTTCAAAGTGCAACATGAAATTCTTTTTTATATAGAGTTTACAACAACAACTCCATATGAAAAACAACTTTATGTTGCACTTTAAAACTAAAACATTCTGAGGAAATTTGTTTGTCGCAATGGTTCATTTATCAAGCTGTTGTTGAAAAATGGAAATGATCTCTTTGATAAAAAACAGCGTACACACAGCAAAACCATGTTCACCGATACACTTTTGGTGCATCCCCAATTCATAGCATGGTTCAAATGACGATGAAAAATGTATTGAATTTATTTTCCGACATCGACCGAATTTCGTCGGATTTTCTGTGAATATGACCATCATATTCACTGGAGAATCTCAATCCAATTCGGTTTGTTGGCAACACTATTTCAAACTCAGCATGATCTAATCTACAATCCGTTGAATATATGTGAAATTCTGTGCATAAACGAGATTCATCTGGGAAAACTCGATTTAAATGCTATTCAATCTCGAGCCTTATGAATCTTATTAAATATTGATGTGATAAGAAACCTGAATTGGGACATGAAAGAAGAATATTATTCAAAAATTTTTATACTTTTGGCAATTATCCGAAATTAATCGGTAGTCGCCCGAAGCTTGTCCCTTTTCACGCGTAAAACACGTGTCAGTTGGTCTTAGCTCACTTTGGGACAGCTGCTATCGAACTCACAACCTTTACACGTCCAGGTCATTTTGTGTATTGTGTATTGAAAGCAGCAATCTGAATGAAGATACATAATAAATGAACGAATCGTTCGTGTTATTTGTTGAATAAAACATAAATTCAGGCGATTTAGAAAGCATGAATGAAATACGCCTTCTTAACACTCTATTGCTGACAAAAAAAAATTCGTCGGTTAAAATGATGTGTTCGACGCAATTCGAACGTTGGCACAGCTGTGCCATCGCCTAAATGCTTTTGCCTCGCACTTTTCTTACCAGCCAATGCCTCGCATTTTCCATTATTCATAGAGCTTTCAACGACAAAATCTTCGTTTTTTTTTCTCTCTCGCTCGATCTGTCCCACACGCTTTTTTCGGCTCTTACATGACATTTATTTTTGGAATTGATACAAAAGCCAATGCATGCATCGTATCCTGGCTAAAAACCCAAACCAATTACCAAGCGAATCAATTTATTCGAAATTTGGCGATTTTATCGTCGATGATTTTGTTTTCACATGAACATATCCAAATAATTGTTTACGAGAATGATGGGTCTCGTTGTTCAACAGTAAAATGCGTGATTCATGCTTATGATCGTCACATATTGTCGCCCCACAATCCTGTCACTCAGCATTATTTTTATGTGCTAATCCAAACATCGCGATACAGATCAATATGTTTATGACACATTTAACTGGTTTTTGTACATTTCGATAATTTCATCGTTATTGCTGAACATTCATTTTTTCAACAACAACCGAAATCAATGAAAAAAACCTCGCCAATATAATTGAGTATATTTCGGAGAATTCGATTTTGTGTTAAATTTTATTTTCGAACATTGACAATTTAATGAAATGTGTGTATTTTTTCGATTACAGAAATCGTATCCAACGCTTCGTTTGACCAGACAAATAACGTTTTACTAGGACTTAATGAACGCGCAATATTCAACAATCGATTGAGGGAAAAAAAAAGTTGAGCGACACATAAAAATGGGCACAATCACCTAATTCACTTGGATTCAGCAACAATTGGAAATGAACTTATGCCGTTGGCCCTTGACTAATCAGCAAATTTTGCGAAAATCGTACGAATTCCATCGAAAACTATAGCAAACAATTAGTTCAAATAGAGGAGATAAATTCAATTGTTTTGAATTGTGTGCGGTCAGTGTTAGTTTTAAAAGTCTACGATGCCCATATTTATTTGGTTACGAATGCAATATTAATTATTATTGTGTTACAATATACGTGGAATAAAGAAAGTTAAACGCAATAAATAATATAGTGGAAAGGATCGTTTTCCATTGACCGTGGTGAATTGTTTAGAAGCGCGTCCATTGTTATTTTGGCCAAACCAAAAACTCATTTACGAAATCAGCGTAATAAAATGCATTCAACGTGGTTTATGGCAAGGACTGCGTTTCGGTGTTGATGGTCCATATTCTCTGTTCCAACCGTTTCCAAGTAGTAAAATATCCGAAATAATTGCTTTTAAAGTCGTTCGTTTGTGTGTGTGTGTGCGAGAGAGAGTGGTGTGGTGTGCATGAAAGGTTGCTCTCTAATTAAGTGTCGTCGGCGTTTATGTTCCTCTCATTTTCATTTTCATTCGCATTCTCATTGTTCTACCCAATTTTGTGTTCGAATTCGCATATTGGCCCTGCCATAATATAGTATATAGTCTCGATATATAGAGCCACCTGAATATTGTGTGCTATCCGGTGATTAGGCATGTTCGCAAACAGTAATCATAATAAAATCGAGGAAAACGGTCATTAAACGTAAAATAAATTAAAATATTGTGTTTCCATGAATGTGAATTGGTGGTCGTGTGAATCATTCAGCCATTGAAATATATAAATGTTCATATATTGGCAAAAGGAACTCTACCACATCGACTGAACTTTTATTTAATGCTGATTACTGTTATTACATTCGCTACGACATTTGGAAGTTCTCTTGGTGTGTATTGAAAAGTAAAGTGGCGAATATACGGCCATTATTGAAAAGGACGTAGGCGAATTTCAAGCCCGTAAAATATATCCATTTGCACGCGAAAAACCCACTATTTACCGGCGTTGGAAACAGTCACACACCAGTCGCACAGTACACATACACGAAAACCATGGAACAGAGTCCGAGAGAGAAAAAAAACGCTACCCAATTTCTGGTTTCATATTGGAATTAATGCGGATTTTCTATTATGCTGAATAAAATAGTAAACAGAACGATGTTTACGCTGCAGAAGTTGATCCAACTACCATTAGACATCGCGCTCAAGTATTATCATCATTCACCACAAATCTGGAGATTATCGATCGACCGACAAATGTAAAAGCGTAAGTTGTTCAATAATTCATACACGAATAAGCTCATGGCGAATCCACATGCAGGCAACGAAGAGAAAGAAACAGAAAAAAAAAACGAAATATATATGTATATATTGGATGCTGTTGTAAAGGAAGCTACATACACGAAGAGAGAGGGGTTCCATCAGAATGCAATAGCCGGTTGTAGGTCGGGAAAAAAAAATAATGAAAAAGCTAAAACCCGTAACGAGTGATTTAAATGTTCGCGCTGATGCATGCAAATCTACTCCCATATTAGACAGAATAGGTGGAAAAAGGGAGGTCGTGACCAAAAGTATTTCATACTGTTGGTTTGCTCTCAGCGTTCTCTAGACATGGAATTTACCGCATTTCTTATTTATAACATGGAATTTACACTCCGCTCGTAACGTTTATGGGCAAACGCTCCGAATGGAAATTCACCACCATCTACACATATACATATATCACACATACGAGCGGAGGAGAAAACAAAGTGCGAAAATTTATAACAAAAATAATCAAGAAAATGTATAGTTTTATGGTTTTATCGGAGCCGTGCCAAATGAAAATTTATATGTGAAGTAAACGCCATAAATGCATGGGAAACGGAAGCGCCAAAGTTTTTTTTTTATTCATGTGCTTCACTTGCTTTCACTTCAGTATTCCGCATTTATGTGTGAGACGGTACATTCTGACAATTCGGAGAGTGCTTTATTGTTGTTGTCCCTTGGAAATAACGGGCGACTGAAAATCTATTTCTCGACCGAATTTTCAAAACGGATCGAATTTTCACAATACACGCATTTATTCTATTCCGTTGATTTCCGAACAACGATTTCCAGTTGATTTGCCAAAAATCTTGATTTCTTTTTCTATCTCGAGAGAGAGAGAGAGAGAGAGAGAGAGAGAGAGAGAGAGAGAGAAAACTCGAACATTTTAATTGAATATTTTGTTTTAATCAAACTTCGTATTTTTTGTGCTTTGATTTTTCAGGCATTAATTTTGGGCACAGAGATACCTACAAAGTGGAGCGTTTGCGATTCTATCTATTGATTCAAAAACACGAGAAAAAACGAGAGTGTAAACGGAGGCGATAGGAAGAGCCGAGATCAACTAATTGATTGCAAGTATTTGTATACGACAACAAAATTGAGTGCGAGGCGCACGTGAGGTGGAAAATAAATTTTGTCGATTGCGTTCAATTTTCATCCCAATCAATTAACAGTTGAAAATCAGCCATTTGGATAAAACCAATACAGCAAATCGAAGCGTATTCACGCCGTTCGCATCCCGAATTAATTTTTCCAGCAAAAACCGCAAGTCATCGATTATTTAAAAAGTGTTTGTGAGTGTATGTGTGCGTGTGCGTGCTCCTGTTTCGCGCTCCTATGTGTTTGTTCGAATGTGAAAACGCGTGCCAATAAACGTGCACCAGAGAGCATCCAGTTAGTGAACGAACGGTTTCTTCATTCGATTTCCAGTGTGTTGAATTGAAACGAGATTGAACATAATTCACGAAAATGCCCGGCGGACGCAGAGGTTTAGTTGCACCACAAAACACATTTCTCGAAAATATCATTCGACGATCCAATTCACAACGTAAGTACACCTCTTCAACTTTTTATTTAGTGGTTTTTATACTTTTCATCAATTTGGAATTGGGTCAGTAAAGAAAAAACACACAAAACGAAATTCTTTCGAAGAATGTGCACCACCAGCATCAACAGCAGCAACAACAAGAGAACAGAATAAAAAAAATAGTCAAAAAGTGGTATTGAATTGACTTTGACCGCAAACGGAAAGAGGTCGCAAGTAGCAAAAGAAAAGTTTTCAGTTTCCGTTCACTTTTCGTAGCATTTAAAAGCGGATGGCAGTGAAAAATTCAAGAAATGTCTTTGTGAAATATGTTCGTATGCATCTTGTTCCAGAGCGAATTCATCTGGATAAAGAATGGAAGTTGGCCACACACACACATATACCCGCAGCAGAAATGTGCTGAAAATGAAAATGGTTTGGTTGTTTGTTTCGGGAATATTTGTGCGACCGCAAGGACGATCAATTTCTCGTTAGTGTGTGCACATATGAGAAGGAGAGAATGGAGAAACCATAAATTATGTGCTTAAATGTGGTTAGACAGTAGAGAGCTGACAAAAAACCAATTCACCAAAGTGAAATTAGACGTTTGCATAATTATTTTAAGTAAACAGTTGATAAAGGTATTTGCATAGTGAAATTTGAGGTTTGTTCCTAGCATTGGCCACCACCATATCACAAGTTCCACATCATTTGGTGTATACAGATAGATAATTGTTTCATAAAGCTCAACATAATCGAAATGAAATGTTTATTCAAATAGATCATTGTGATGCCGTTCACTTCATGGATTTTTATGGAAAAGCCACAGTCATAAAGTTAGCCATATCGTGAGTGTCTGCAGCCACGCGCATCGGCTCACCAAATATAAATTTGCTTCAGCATTCATAGTTAAGAACCCTCCAGCACCGAGAGTCAGTTCGCCTTCGTAAAAAGTAACATCGTTTACATTTTATATGCGAACATTATTCATTTTTGTTGCGCTGCTTATACATTTCCACTTCTTCTTCTTCTTCTTCCTCCTTCTTCGCCTTTTTCATAAATGTATGCGAAAACTTTTAAGTACACATGCCAACAGCGGCAGATAAATTCGAAAATAATGTGCACCAAACAAGTATTTGCGTTCGCTATTCGCCTCAGCCGCATTTATAATTTTGCTTTGTAATTTATTTATTCTTAAAAAGTAATTGGTTGTAAATTCGAAACATAAACAAACAACTGCACTAAGGATGTATGGTATGCATGGGGGACGTGCGTGTGTGTGTGTGTGTGTGTATAACGATAGCGAAAATCCCAAAATACATATAAACCAAAGGTTGAATGAATGCGAATCCTGCCAATTCTTGAGCCTTGTTTCAACGACTGGATACCCTGGATACCAAATAATAAAACTCCTCACACTCTGAACAGCCTTTCTGATCATGAAAATAGTAAACAATACAGCGGCACCTGGGGACTAAGTGCAATGTGTCATACTTTCAACGTTTGAACTAACACAGACGCACTTACACAGACGCATACTTGTTACAGCAAACTATGTGCATGATTCTCTATTTCTCCAACCAGTCGCCAGGTGCCGCTTTATTGTTCTTGTTTGACGTTTCCTATCTATTTGTACAGACGATCAGAGAGGCTGACTCTGAATTGATATTTTCTCATTTCATAAGCAGCATAGGACTTCGAATAACAATCAAATCTCGCATCATTCAAAACATAAATAAAACAAATTAATTGTTCTCGCCAGCCAATGTTTGCCCAATGGAAGTATGCATAGCGATTTATTAAAATCGATATGCCTATACAAAATATGATTAAAACAGCAAATTTGTATAAATTTAAAGTTATTCGTCAAGTTACTGACTTGAAAATGAAATCTTGATGGTTGATAAAAAGTTTCTTTGCTACATTCATTCATTCGTTCAGTCAGCCGTAGTGAGTGTGGGCATAAAAAGTGCCATCACAAAACCGTACTAAATTTCATTTATATTGTGGCGAAAAGCCGTTTTACATTTGGTTAAATTGAAATGCTAAACAGCGTTGAAAATTACATGTCAAAGTGCGTAATGAGATGATAGCCGCATGAAATATGTTCTTCAATTATGAATAGCAATGAAATATTTTGCATCGAAGTTAAAAAATGTCACAACAAACAGATATGAACAGAAAATATTGTATATAATATACATATATATATATATATATATATATATATATATATATATATATATTATTCCGTGACCTTCATTTCGAGCTACAGACACAATGCGCCATTTGCCTCCATTTGACAGCGTTATGTTTTGCTTATTTCAGCTGTTATGATAAAATGTGTACCGAAAATGATTGTAATGTGATGTAATAATGGTAGTTGATGAACGGCAGCCATAATGATTCAGTAAGTATTATTTGGTGTGCTTTTAACACTTAGTACACAGTTATGTACACAGACAAAAAAAGAATAAGATCAAGAGTATTAATCCATGAAAATAATGCTTGAAGCAGCCGAAAAGAAAATCGACTTTGGCATTTTGGCTGAGCACAATATGATCTCTCGTTCTAGATTATTGCTTAGTGATTACATTTTTCATTTTCGCCAGATCAAATAAACGATTTTCATGCTATCAGCCATTAGTGTATCTTTTTTATTTGATGTGCAACCATATTCATTTATCCGGTGAGCTAGCTCAAAGTGTTCAATATAAGGAGATAGACGAGCAAAAAATTGATTTGATTATAGAATACATGTTACGTAGCTCCAAGTCATTTTGAATATTGCGAACAAAAATGTGAGATTTTCAGTTCACATTCCATTGGACATAACTTAAAATTATGTGTGCTAGTCATGTGTTTGAGCGAAAAAGTCCAAGCAAATTAAAATATAAATAGAGAAAAAGAAAAGAAAAAGAACAAAACGAGATGACATGAATTCATGCAATAGGATACTTTGCAAAAAGTTTCTGCGGCGGAAGCAAGGTTTTTGATTTGAGGGCAAAGCCAGAAAAAAGATTGCCGAAGGAAAAAAAAGAGCATCAATTTTGAATGTGAATTGAATTAAATTTTCTCAGTTGGTCGGAGCGAGTGAGCGTTCATTAAGATTGTATGCTCATTTGTTTTCCTCACCCAAGCGGTAATAAATGTGATACATTCAAGTCAAAAAAAATTGTCGGCACAGTTGTGCGTCAAATTCAATTCATAAGTTTGCATTTGAAAGTCCACCATCATTGCTCGACCGCAATGAACTTCAACTTATTTAATGAAAATTACGCTGGAGAAAAGAAGGCCGAACCAAGAACCAAGAAGGAAAAAAAAGTTTTGCCACTCTTTTGTTGTATATGTTGGCGTGCTATCTCAACAGTGCTATGAGAGGGGCGAATTCAATTTCAAGTATAATACACGCGTCACGATTGTTATTCGTTTACGTTATGTGTTTTGTTCCTGCTGGTTGGCTTTTCTCGTAACATTATTTCACATTTCACGATACGAATATAAATTTTGTTTTATTCAACGATTTATGTCTCCTTGCTGTCGTTTTGGCATCACATTTGCCTTGCTACAGACATTGCAAATGTGAAACTCCATTCGCCATTTTCGCGTTGTTCCTTTTAATGCCATACAAACGGAACGAAAAAGAGCGACATCGGTTCGGATGAAACAAGCAAAAGGACGAATCAACGAGCAAAATTTTAATTTTTTTTTTCACTGTGTTACTTTGAGCTACCACTTTTCCTTTTGCTGGTGCCCAATACTCATTTTTTTGTCAAGCGTTTCATAAACATTTGAGCTAACGCAATTTTTTTATATATGTATGTTCAATTGTCTCGTGTTTACTTTTTCTATAGCATTTTCTGTGCGATGCTCCCAGTTGTGAGCGCACAGGCTACAAACAAATACTTGAAGCACAATGAATGTAATAAAGTGGTTGTAATAAGATATAGATAACGGAGCGAGAGAAGCAACAATAAAAAAAAAGAGAAGAGAAGAGAAGAACGAAGCCAACACGATACGGGACTTGAACCGGAATGTGCGGTGGTAAAAAAGCAAAGGGAAAAAACCATCAAGTGACATTGTAAAAGAGTAAAGCTTTTAGTAATGCTACTCATTTTCGAAGCTGTTCGCCGTCGCCGCCGCCGTCGTCGTCGTCTCCTTCTCCTTTTTTTATGTGTTCACGTTCATTTTCATTGTTGTTGCTCTATCTATTCAATGGCATTCGATACATTTCGTCCGTCCCTCACTCATATCGCTTCACTGGTACCGTAATGTGCGTGCAAAAAGGCACTTTCATATTCATTTCTAGTGCCATCGCAAATTGAACACCACTACTACAGCTGTCGCAACACAAGCATCGCTAGCTGAACATGTAAACTTCAAATATTTCGATAGAACAACATGTAATGCCAATAAAGAGCGGCACACTAGATGAAATCGCCTCGTCTTCAGTACGTACTCCTCATAAGTGTTATTTCTTTAAGACAAATATTTGCCATTTTAGATGATGATTTTTTTTTCTTTTGTTGCTTCTGCTCTCGCTTTTTTCCGCTCAAACAGACGAGAGTGGAATCTTTCTTTCTTGAAATGTTAAACGAGATTTTATCTCGTAATGTAAATTCCATTGCCTGACAACCATCGAGTGAGAAAGTGAAGCACAGAATTACTTTGTCGCCTCATCGCATTCACCTCTTTCAATTTCGCCAACAATGACTCTACGCTTATTTGAAAATTCATATATTTTTATCTGTGTCGCACGCATGAGCGAAAGGTGTTCGAAAGCCATAATAATTTTATCAAATATCTGAAAATTTCACATTTTATCCCGTTAAAAGCAATTAACGACAAACCTGACGAAAAAAGAAGAAAAAAAGTTAACTGGATCCCACGCAATCATTTGAATGGGCCCGAAATATTGTGAAGTTCGTTGTAACCATCGTTACCATGCCATAAACACGTTATGCAACTCAGACAAAAAAAAAACTATTTCTTTTATAGCATCGCATCAGTCCTTTCTCTTGTTC